TATATGAACTGCTGTATGGAAAGTGAATTTGTTCTGTACATTTTCACCCAAATCACAATTAAAAAAAAAAAAAATCAGGGCTATCGGTGTCTCCTCACACCTAAGATCAGATCAGATTACATTTCTTCCTTATTGGTTAGTATTTTAATTCTGTTTTTACCCCTTAGATTATTGTTCTATACCAAACCAAAAACCACTGCCATTAAGTTAATTCTGATTCACATAGACCCTATAGGATAGAGTAGAACTGCCCTATAGGATTCAAGGCTATAAATCTTTATGGAAGCTGGCTGCCATGTCTTTCTTCCATGGGTTCAAACTACCTACCTTTTGGTTAGCAGCCCAGTGCTTTAACCACAGTGCCACCAGAGCTTCTTAACCATTCTATACAGTCAAAGTTAAATTTAGATTTGCTGCTCCTTGGAAGGAAGATTGGGCAATCTACTTCCATAGAGATACCGCCTTGGAAACCCAAGGAGGGGTCACTATGAGTTGGGAGAGACTGGATGACAGTTTTTTTTTTTTTTTTAATATGCTTACCAATTTCTTCCTTCCTCCCTCCTCTCCTTCCCTTCCTCTTTCTTTCTTTCCTCCCTTCCCTCCCTCTCTTCCTTCCTTCTTTTTCATTCTTTCTTCCTGGATATTCTTTAGGGATTCTTTTGTTGAGGGTCTGCTAGTCAGATGTTGTTAGTTTGAAAATATCTGCATTTCACCCTTGTTCTTGAAGGATCTGGGTATAGAATTCTAGGTTATAGGAATTGTATATAAGAATTAATATGAGAGTAAAATGAATCTGTTTTGTTAATTTGCATCCAAATCACAATTAAAAATGAAAAAAAAAAAAAGAATTGTATTTTGCTGTCCTTTGGCTTGCATTATTACTGCTGTTGAGAATTGAGAAGTCTTACTATCTATTTGTTGTTCCTTTGTAAATAACCTGTCTTTCCTCTGTGGTTCTAGGTGTGATTCCTTTTAATTCTCTGTGTTCAAAAGTAGATTTAAGATTAGATAGGAACCTTTGAGGGCAGTGAGTTTATGCTAATGGGTGAGGAACAACTCAGGGAGTGTGAGAATGGTCACACAACTCAGAAGAATATAGTTAATGTCACTGTGTTTACACATAAGAACAATTGAATTGGTGTATGTTTGCTGTGTGCATTCGGAAGAAGATAAAAAAATGGAAGAAGATTAAAAAAAAAATAGATTAAATTTTTTTCCGGTTTAATTTGTTGTGCTTTCTTAATCAGAGAATTTATCTTTCATCAGTTCTGCAAATCGATCAACCATTGTCTTTGAATATTGTGTTCCTTCATTCCTTTTCCCTAAAACTGATTGGACATAGGTTAGACTTTCCATTCTTTTTCTACTGTGTGTCTCTGTGCTGTTCTCTTAGTGATTATTTTGGATCTTTGTGTCAGTTGGGTATCTTGTCAACTCTAGTACGTTCTTTAATCAGCCCAGGAAGTTTTTTTCAATGATTAAATTTTTCATTTATGAAAGTTACTTGCTTCTGTTTTAACTCTGCCTAGTCTTTTTTTTTTTTAAGTATGTTCTTTGCTCTATGTTCCACTCTCTCTTCTGCATTTCTTGACCATTTACATAGGCTTATTTAATATTCCATATCTAAAATTTCTTGATTTTTTTTTTAATCTATTCCTTGTTTCTCCTGAGCCTTAAAAATATTTATTTATTTACTTTCACTGTTGGTGGCTCATTTTCTTATGTGTTTTGTGTGTGCAGATGATGAGTTCTTACTTATCCAAGTTCTGTGTGTGCAAATCACGCAAACCTATGTTGAGGGTATATCCTCCTCAATAAAATTTGAGTTTTCTTTTGCCAGATACGCCACACTGTGATTTACCCAGGAACACTTTTAAGTTAATTCCTCAGCCAGGAGGGATTCCAGATTTATTAGGGCAAAGATTTGATAACTTAAAAGGAAACCCAGAAAAATAAAAGTGGTTTAAACACGCTAGGGGGTTTACTTGTCTTGAACAACAGTCTGCCATGGCTGGTAGGGCAGCCCGGCTTCTCTCTTGGTGCTCCCCTCCTCCCAGGGTGTTGCCTTCACTTAAAAGGTCCAAGGTGGCTTACCACCTTATCTTCAGTCCAACCAATGGGAGGGGACAAAAGGGGAAGAGGAGGACACACTCGAAATGGTATACATCATTTCTGCTCACATTCTCTTAGCCAGGACTTAGTCATGTCCCCATATCTAGCGCTGCAAGGGAAGCTGGAAAATGTATTCTTTGTTCTGAGTACTTGTATGCCCTGCTGAAATGAGCAGTTTTGTCACTGCAAAACGGAGGCAGTGTGTATAATGACCAACACCCAGCAGTCTCTTCCAGTGCCGTTTGAATCCTAACCCCTCTGAAGGCAGGCATTTAGTCACACATTGTCAAGGGGGGAGGTTCTGTGGCCACCTCTCCTCCTCTAGGGGCTCAGGCTGATAGAAGCAAATTTCTCTATCAGCCAAAACAGAGGGATAGTTTAATTGGGCCCTCTGGCTTTATGCTGGGGACTCCCTACTTTGCAGAGGCCCAGTCCAATTTTCTCCAACTTAGTTGTATACTTAGTTGTAAACTTGTTTGAAATAAGTGTATATGTATTTGAAATAAGTTGTACACTTATTTGAAAAATATATGTATTATTTTGTCTTTATTTGGTAGTAGCAGGGCTTTTAAAATTATTTTTAAAGCTATCTAGTATCTTCCATATTTTCCCCTCATTAAGCTGTCTTTCATGTGGATTCTATGACTGTATCAAGCCTTTCTACTCTTGTCATTACTGTTATTTGACTCATCAGTAGTCTCTCCTCTTTGCTAAGTTGTATTTATTAGTTCTTTAATGGTACTTTTACGGTGCTCACTTCCCTTCCAGTCCTCATTCTTTTCATCTCATTTTGTTCCGTCATCCAATTTGAGTTCCAAACCTGGGTTTATCTTGGTCTATCCCCTCTTGTGTAGTTTGATGCAGTGGCTGTGTGTTGTTTCTGTTGGTAGGTGAATGTTGGAAAGACAGACCAGTATTCATACTTGTTAGACTACCTAGTTGGGTGGTATATTTTATTTTCCCACCAGTAGATTTCTAGAAGGTAAAGTTGAGGATAGGAGCTTGACCTGACTGCCTCACCTCCCAGGTTCATTGGGAGAGGCATGTTCTGTAGCAGTTTTAATCTACCATTGTAGCATCATTTTTTATCACCTGGAATTATCATGTGGCCTGGCCTTTGTTTCTAATAATCTTTACTGTCTATTTAAATAACTGCTTGATACTCTATTCTGTTGATCTACCATTGTGCAGATATTGTGATGTTTTATTATTTCTAGGTTTTGCTGTAATAGATAGATCTGCAAAGATGTTATTCATCCCTTTGTTGTTTTGCTTCTGTTGCATTGTTTCCTTAGATTTAATTCCTGGGAACAGAATTGCTGTGTCAAAGAATGTAACAAATATCTCTAAGTCTTGCTGCATATTGCTGTTTTTTTTTTTTTTTTTTTTTTAAGGTTATATACCACCTTATATTACCACCAGATATGAATGAGTATGCTTAATTTCATTGTAGCCTTGTTAGTGTTTGATGGTAGTTTCATTTCTTCTTCTTCTCTTTTAAATAGCTATAGAATGGTATCTCCAGGTTGCTTAAATATTCATATCTTTTATTGTTATGGAGCTTTTAGCATTTTCATGTGGGTGTGTTTACCACTTATTTTCTCATCTTTGAGTCTTATGTTCTTATCCTTGCCCATTTAATGACCTTGATGTTTTTCTTATGCATGAGAACAAGGACTTTTATAAAAGAAAATATTAACCTTTATATTTTTGTATTTTTTAAAGCTATTTGTACAAATTTTTCAACTTTAAAAAAAATCAGCTTTTACTCAAAAATTTAAATATTGATATTTTACATAGTTGAGTTCTTTACCTTTATTAGTTTAAATTGAGAAAGTTATTTGATACTAATTTTCTTCACTATAATTTGATTTTTATTGCTTATTCCTTTTGAAGTTCATTTTGATATGTAAAGGTATGGTTTTGATTAAGTGAATAGTGATTGTGAGGAATTCCATTTATTGGATAATTTTTATTTCCTTGTTTTAGAAAATGGAATATCTTACCTTAAGCATATGTATATAAATTTAAATCTGCTTTGAGACTGCAATCTGTTCCATAGATTATCCTGTTTCTATTTTTTCGACAGCAGCACACTGTTTTTAGATATTGTTTTATGTAATAGTTTTTAATGTCTAGTAGAGATAGATTTATTTCATTCATTTATAAGAATGTTCTTTCATAATTTTATCTTTAAATTTTAGTCATTTTACTGTGTTTTAAAAAAGGGATTCCTATCGGACTTTCGGTTGTCATCATGGTTACCACTAGGAAGGAGCAGATCTTAACATTCAACTTTGTTTTCACCTTTCATAGTTGCCTCTTCATTTATTTTTAGTTCTTTAAAATTTCCCATTAAGCAGTCAAGACTTTGATACTAAACATTTTGTGAATATTTTACCGTTGGTAACTTTTTTTAGATCTATTTTCCAGGGCAATAAAGTACTGAAGAATACATTTTTAAATCATGAGATTTTGATCAACTTTTGAAGAAATAAAATTCCGTAGTTTTTTTAGAGCTAACTTTTTGAGATTTCTAAGATTGATCATAGGTTATAAATTTTGAACATTTATGAAACATGTAAAGAAAAAAGTAAATAAAGAATGATACTATTTAGTAACATGTACTATGAGCCCTGTAGCTTTCATATGAATAATTTTTGCACAACTTAAGCTCTGAGCTTCTAATTGACAGAACTTTTATATCTCTTAATATGTAGAAACTCCTTAACAGATGTGACTTAGTAATTTATGGATAACAAATCTTTAATCATTTAATCCAATTAGTATAATTTAGATTACATAAATAAAAGGAAAATATTTGAATCATGCTTTCCATCTTTACCCATCATTTTACAATTTAACCACACTCTTTGTACTGTTTATAGGTAGAAAATCATGAATTCCTTGTAAAACCCTCTTTTGATCCTAATTTGACTGAATTAAGAGAAGTAATGGATGACTTAGAAAAGAAGATGCAGTCAACACTAATAAGTGCAGCCAAAGAACTAGGTAAGAATGGGTCATGGAGGTTTGAATCTTTCTTCTTTTTACTCATCCATGTAGCCATTCATTTGTGGTTGCACTTTCTTGTTGCATGAGTCAGCCTTTACATTCAGAAAGTTCTCAACTCTGTTCTCACCATTGTGTTCTTGCTTAGTTCAGCCACTTACATTCTTTCTTATTCTATGGAAATAGGGTTCTGTTTGGCATACTTGGTGTCTGTCATCAAACTCTCCACTTCTATTCATCCTCCACACTGGTGCCAGAATTTCCTTCCAAGGAGATACAAACGGATTATACTACTTTTAGTTTAAGGTGCAGTCCTGCACTTGGTTGCCATCCATCCTCTTGATGGTTGCATATCACACTGTTGTGATTCATAGGTTTTTCATTAGCTGACTTTTTTGGAAGTGCATTGCCAGACCTTCCTTCTTAGTCCATTTTAGTCTGGATGCTCCAGTGAAACCTGTTCAGTAGCATAGCAACACACAAGCTTCCATGACGCTCAGAGTATAGCTGTGCATTGGCTGGGAATTGAACCCAAGTGTCCCTCATGGAAAGTGAAAATTCTGTGCCTCTAGGAATTTATAGATATCCTGAATTCATGTAGTTTTTGAGTGAAGTGGAATTTGAATTTTTTCCAATTAGGTACTATTAATAAAGAGTTTTCAATATGTTGTCATGTAGTGAAATTACATCGTTCACTTTTTGGTTTAATCATTTTAAACATTTACACTGGAAAATTACTGTAGATATTTATGGAGCACTTTTTCTTTTTTTCCTGATCGTAAAGGCTTGGAGCCTGGCAAGCAGATTAAGCTGGATTATAGTACACAGTTTGGATATTACTTTCGAGTGACCTGTAAGGAAGAAAAAGTCCTTCGTAACAATAAAAATTTTACTACAATAGATATCCAGAAGAATGGTGTTAAATTTGCCAACAGGTTTGTAAGCCTATATTACATTTTTAAGCCTTCAGCAGTTCTGTGGAGCTAAGCTGTTCTCTGATGAAATGTGAATGTTTAATGATAAGGAAGCTTTATCTTATTTATAGTTCACTGATAAGGCATTGGGTGAGGTTCAAGATTTGCTTTTTTGTAAATGATTAGTTAGATGTCATAGTATCATTTGGTAAATAATCCATCTTTTCCTCAGTGACTGAAGCGGTATATTGGATTGATTTACTTTCCCCTACCTGTTAGGGCTAGTTCTCCCTCTTGTCTATCTGCTTTAATTATTTTCACATGCTTTTTTTTTTTTTTTTTTCCCTTCCTTTCTCTCTCTCTCAAAGAGAACTTTTCTATTATTTATCAAGTTAAAAACTCCTTTTGGATTTCAGCTGAATGCACAGATTGTTTGGAGAGATGTCTGCCAGCTTTGTGAGACCATTCACTAAATTACAGCATTGTTATCATATTCCATTTTGAAAATACATTGTTAGCTTTTCTGCCTTTTTTCCTTCCTCACTGATGTCAGGAAGTTCCTGAGGGCAAATAGTTTATAATTTGGGGAAAAATTGACAGTAACAGCTGGAACTCCACAGGACTGCCTTGTTTTCTGGGTTTTACAGGCTTTCTGCCTTTGCTTTCTAGTTATGGAAAATGTTTGTGTTTTCCTTCTCTGACAGGTTTCTGCTTAAACACAAGTTCTGCTTTTTACCGGTTTTACTGTATTTTTTAAAATCTTCTGTGACTTGGAGGGAGTTTATTGTCTGACCTTTCTCCTGTACTATACCTAAAGCCTGTGGCTTGCCCTAATCCCACCCCTCCTGAATTTTCTCAGTAGTTTACAGATAGCTTTTGCATATATGATCCTCTTTCATCCATTTAGTTAACTAATGGTTGGAGTATCTGTTATGTGCAAACAATTTTTAGGTGTATAGAGTACCCCAGTAATGAAACAGTCTGTTTAATTTGTTCCTTAGAACAACTCTTGAGATAAATAGGACACGAATAGATTTCTCTAATTTTATAGATAAAACGGCAGAGAGATAAATTCTCTGGGGTCAGTCAGTCAATAAGTAACAGCAGATATTTCAACCTCAGTCTTTTGTTGTTGAATTTAGTTGTGACTATTTTCTTCTCTGTTTATTACCATTTTTCCAGTACAGTATACCCCTCCTGGTTCAAGAAATGCATATATTATAGCATAAATAAGACAGATCCTTTGGGGTTTTATAACATCTTTGAATTGCCTATAGGTTATTTATGTCATGTATAAAAGGGACTGGACTGGATGGCCTCCAAAAACATAAAACCCAATGCTGTTAAGGCAATTCAGACTCACAGTGACCATATAGCACTGAGCAGAACTTTCCCGTAGGGTTTCCAAGGCTGTAATCTTTACAGAAGCAGTTTACCACATCTTTCTCCCACGGAGTGGCTGGTACTTTTGAACTTTCGACCTTCCGTTTAGTAGCTGAGTGCTTAACCACTGTGCCACCAGAGCTTCTGGGATGGCCACAGTACTGTCAAAAGTTCTGAAAGATTCATTTGTTCGTTGAGATTGAATGCTTACTGTGTATCTGACTCTAATCTTAACCATTTTCCTTGTTATAATCTGTCACTGTCTATGCACCATCCAAATCTAAAATCTTTGTATGACCTTCATTATCTGGTCCCTGCCCACCTTTGTTTTCATCTCTTGCCACTCTTCCCACTGTGGTCTCACTTTTGTAATGTCCTTGACTCTTACTTTTCTTCCTTGAAATCTTTCCCTTTACCTGCTTCATAGTGTTCTTTTGTTTTGCAGCTGCCTGCCCATGTGCTATTCTTGAACCATACGTGTGTACTATGCCATTGGCCAATCCCATCAAGTTTACAGTTGTTGCCTCAGTTACATGATTCCCTTCCACCTCTGATAGTGGCTTCCTTCTCTATCTCTTCTACTCTGTGCCTCTCTTCCTTGCTTTTGTTCTTAATTTCATTCCCTTCCTTTGATACCGGTGAATATTATCTCCTTCTTTCATTACCATCTTTTATAAGTATCTTTTCTTTTAACTGTTGTTTTCATAACCCTTTTAAATTGCTCAATAAAATTTTGTTTTTGAAACATTTTCCTTATTTTGACAACTTTCAGTGTAGAAAGAAGTTGTGCTAAAATAATGAGAGATACCATAGTTGTTTGTTTTAAGGGTGCATGACTTTCATCCTAAATAGGGATGTAGACTTAATTCCATCTAAATATTTCATAAAAGACACAGATAGAATTTTACTCAGGGAAATAATTATAGCAAGAATTGTGCCAGTGGGCTATTCCAGACAGCATAAAATAACATTAATAACCTGAATTCCAGCCAGATCTGTCCCGTGAGTTGCCTGTTTTCTGCTTGTATTTCCATTTTAATTATTACTGTTTTGATACTTCATAGACTACTCTGGATGTCTTTTAAGTAATACATATTACCTCTAGGAGATGTTTTAATATTTTTAATGAACTAAGATCTTGATTTGCAGTAACTTGACTTCTCTCAATGAAGAGTACACCAAAAATAAAACTGAGTATGAGGATGCCCAGAATGCCATTGTTAAAGAAATTGTCAACATTTCTTCAGGTAAATTTAACATAAACTACTACAATAAATGCTCTGAATGTGACCTGATATTTTAATATTTGAAGTATGGTTTTCTTTTTAAAACCATCACACATTGTAACTGTTTTATATATTAGGCTGCATATAAAATAATACATGCTGCATTGTGATAGGAAAGGTAATTGGAAATTACTCTTGTCCATGTGAAGATAAGCCAGTGCAGGATAACAAATAGGAATACCCTGAAAAACAAAGCCGTGCAGAAAAGACACAATTTCTATAGGTATAGTAGTAACAAGGAAAGGAAATACCAATGGCTATAAGACACTAATATTTAGGTGCTCCACAGGCTCTACTCTAGTTTGTGGCAATAAATTCCACTAAAAAGCAATTACCAATTATACATGAGCAAACCTTATGTGAGTTCTGTGCTCTGTTTTATAGATTTTCAGTAGTCCATGCTAGTGGCATAGTTTGAAATGATTGTCTCTTAGTAATTGCTTTCTGTCATTAAGGGGGAAGCATGATTTGACATTGTGATATTGCTCATACAGTGGAATGTATGTGATAGGCTTTGCCTATCACCATGTGCTGTATTTACTGTAACTTTTATTATCACTGTCAGAAAATACTAAAGAACCACCTTAACTGAGTCATCAAAGTGAACATCACCACTAATGGAACAGGCACATAACATTCACTGCCTCCTGATGTGTGATGCGGAAGGAATGACACAGCGTTACCTGTGTAGTATTCTTGGAAAAAAAATGTATAACATCATAGCAACAAGAAGACAAAAATCAGATAAATTTAGATTGTGAAACATTCTTTTTAAGAGCTAACCTCTTTACAGATGTGTCAATCAAAGCAAGAAAGGAATGCACTGACATCTGTTCTAGATGAAAGGACACAGGACAGCAAAGTGCAGTGTAGATCCAGGGTTGGAAGTGGAGAATAACTTCAGAAGACATTGTTGGGACAAATTGGCAAATTTAATATGAAATATATATGGGATCCGTGTCAGATTTCTTTGGTGTGTGGTAAGGGTCTTGTGAATAAGTAGGAGGAAGTCCTTGTTCTCAGGATATGCATACTAAAAGTGTCATTTTTTTTTTTTAACTATACGCACATATACTTTTATAGATTGTTTCACTATTATGAACTTTCATCGTAAATCAGGAGTACACGTTAAAATTAAAGGGTTTTAGTTGAATACTTTTTATGTATTGATATTGACATGAATGAGATTGAGTTGTAGAGATTTACATTTTTGCTTGGTGGTGTCAGATAACTATAGCATGATAATTTAGGGGAATTATGTTTCTGAGCATACACTGCCTGTAAAATACCATATATTCAAACTACAGAAGCCTGTAAAATACCATATACTTAAACTAGGAATCTTCCTTAGAAAATCAAATTAAGTTATATTCACTAAGCTCCCAGTAAGTAAATGGTGCTAGATTTTAACATTTAAATTGACAGTTTTATATTTGGAGTCACCCTGAATATTTTTAAAAAACACCCTCTTCCTGGTCTTGTTGTTGTTGTTATGTGCCATTGAGTTGGACCCAACTCATAGCGAACCCTCCTTGGGCTTCTGAAGCATTATCACTACGGAAGTAGATTGCCCAACCTTCCTTCTGGCTGGTGGGTTTGAACTGCCAACCTTCTGGTTAGCAGTCTAGTGCCTTAGGCGCTGTGCTACCAGAGCTCCTCTTTCTGGTCTAGTATACACATAAACTATTTTAAAATGTAATGGATCATTTTCACAGTTTCTAGCTTGCTGGCAAGCTAGAAAAGAGGCCGTAAAGAGCCAGATGATGTGAAGTTCTAAATAGACTGTTAATCAAGTCTTTGGTTTTATTATAAACCTATTCTTGTTGCAATGAGCTCTGGTGGGACAGTGGTGGCTGCTAACGAGAAGGTCGGTGGTTTGAACCCATCAGTTGCTTCACAGGAGAAAGATGAGGGAGGCAGTCTGCTTCTGTTAATATTTATAGGCTTGGAAATCCTACAGGGCAATTGTACTCTGTTCTATAGGCTGTTATGAGTCAGAATTGACTGGATGGCAGTGGGTTTGGTTTTTTGGTTTATTGTTGTTGATATGTTAGAAAATTGATAACTTTCTAAGTACTTATAGTAATTACTCCACTAATACTTAAAACATTCTTACAGATTCCTATTGCTACAAGATAGGGTAGTGTGAAGGCTTTCCTATTTTTAAAAAAAAAAAAAAATCTATGCTAAGTAAAAAAGGAGTGAAATAGAGAATTTTATATCTGGCCATTTATGCCTAAGGCACTTGACTGCTAACCAGAAGGCTGGTGGTTCAAATCCACTAGCCACTCCTCGGAAGGAAGGCTGGGCACTCTACTTCCGTAGTAATACTGCCTCAGAAACCCAAGGAGCCTCGGTCGCTATGAGTCGGGTCCAACTCGACGGCCCATAACAACAGTATTTATAACTTAAGTTTTTTTTTATCTTATTACTTGTAGCTGGTAGCATTTTAGAATTACTTTTTAAATGTGATGTTAATTTTATAGGGAACAATTTTTTAATTTTTATTGTGATTTGGGTGAAAATTTACAGAACAAATTCACTTTCCATACAGCAGCTCACGTACACTTTGTCTCATGACATTGACTACAATTTACCACAGTGCAACAGCTCCCTTCCCACTGCCTCCCCAGAGTTACCTCTTCCCTGTGTCCATCCCTCCCATGCACTCCTGCCTCCCAAGCTGTCTTCCTGTGCACACAGAGGCCTTCTGTTCTTCCATGATTGATCTCTCCAAGGAGTTTATCTGCCTAATGTAAATGTTCAGCTCGTATTTTTGTCTTTTGTTCGGCTGGAAGCCATAGGAGTGACCTGAAAGGCAGCTAGAGGCCATAGTCTCAGTGGTTCTCTCAGGCTTTTTCAGACCAGCAAACTTGGTCCTTTTTTTTTTTTTTTTAATAATGATTTTGAGTTTTGTCCCACATTGTTCTTCCACTCTATCCAGGATCTCCTATATAGATCCCCCTCTGAGTGGTTCGACAGAGGTAGCTGGGCACCATCTACTTCTGGTCTCATAGTCGTATAGGCTGAGGGTCGCATGGTGTACCAGTTGCTTGGACTGATTATTTCCATGTGTTTTTTATTTTCTTCATTCTTCTTCGCTCTGGATGAAGAGAAACCCATTGTTGCATCTGAATGGCTGCTTGCAAGCTTTTAAGATCCCACTCGCTACTTGCCAAAGTAGGATGTGGAACAGTATTTTTGTGTAGTATGTTACGCCAGTTGAGCTTGATGTCCCCAGTGATCATGGTCCTGAGCCCATAGGTCCAACTACTCATTCCCTCTGGCTAGCTGGTGTGGGGAACAAATTTTATGGGACCAGATTTCCTACTAGTTGGTTAAACCCATAATTTTGTGTATTCCTAAAGTTAAATATTTTTCTCTTGAAAGTCTCTTGAAACATTTGAAGTGATTATTTCATGGTGGCATAGTGCCTAAGGCATTTGGCTGCTAACCAGAAGGCTGGTGGTTCAAACACACCAGCCAGTCCTCGGAAGGAAGGCTGGGCAATCTACTTCTGTAGAGATACCGCCTCGGAAACCCAAGGAGGGGTCTCTATGAGTTGGATTGTCTCAATGGCAGTGAGTTTGCGTTGTTTTTTTTTTTTTTTTGTATGGATAATCCTACATCATGTATTGGGCCCAATATACCAACCTCTCCAATATATTAAAACTTTAGAATCTATTCTGAAATTTTTGGCAACTTATGTTGCCTTTACATGCTTTGCCTGGCATATATCAGGGGACTTTTTTTATATACATGATAACTTTCAGTTTTGGTACTCTTTCTAGCAGAGTAGAATCTTGTTGAAAGCAGTTTAAGTGATAATTAGGAATCTAAATTTATATTAAAATTCAACTTTATGTGGTATGGATGAAAAAATAACTTTGCTGCAGACTGGCTTGTATATGAACAGCCTTGACAGGCACATTACAACTACTGCCAGGTGCTTGCAAGTTTCTTATGATAATTATGAGGTGCTAGCTTGGTTTCATATTCTTAAGTGCCTTAAAAATTGACAGTATGCCTCAGATATTACTGTAGCCTGCATTTCATACCTTAATATATTATAAAAGCTTTTCCTTGTCAGTTGTATGTTTTTTAAGCTTTACCTCGTTTCTTTATAAGCAGTCATGCAGTTAAATTTTCTTGGGTTTTGTTAAGGGAAGGCATCATTCCTTTCTTTTTGTGAAATCTGTTCACAGTGGGGGAGGATCTAGCAAGAAATTTTAACCTCATGTTACATTTAGGTGTTCCTTTCAAGTTTCCCTATGGCAACTCCTGTTAGATTTTTAAAACTGATTTGAATTCCAAAAAGGGGAAGTTAAATTTATTCTTATGGCTGTTTATATCTGTTTTTTATGATTCATTATTCTTGCATACATTTTCTGTTTTTATTTTTACATAGGCTACGTGGAACCAATGCAGACACTCAATGATGTATTAGCTCAGCTAGATGCTGTCGTCAGCTTTGCTCATGTGTCAAATGGAGCCCCTGTTGCGTATGTACGACCAGTCATTTTGGAGAAAGGACAAGGAAGAATTACGTTGAAAGCATCTAGACATGCTTGTGTTGAAGTTCAAGATGAAGTTGCGTTTATTCCCAATGATGTTCACTTTGAAAAAGATAAACAAATGTTCCACATCATTACTGGTAAAAACCTAGTTTATGGGATTTTGGGGGGTAACGGTTCTTTTATGTTGAAATGGAAAGGTACTTAAAATTGATGAAGAAAATCCCAGTCCTTGACGTTGTTGTTGTTGTTGTTGTTATGTGCCATCGAATCAGACCCGACTCACAGCAACCCCTCCTTGGGTTTCCAAGGCAGTATTGCTACAGAAGTAGATTGCCCAACCTTCCTTCCGATGAGTGGCTGGTGGGTTTGAACCGCCAGCCTTTTGGTTAGCAGTCAAGTGCCTTAGGCCAGTCCTTGACATCAGCAAAAGAAAATGTTATTCATGAGAGTTAGAAATATTCACATTTGGATTAGAGGGAAGATTTGGAAGGCAGGGGGCAGCTTATGAGAGAATATTGTACTTGTATGAAACTTCTGTTCCAGGAGTTCAGAGCACTTAAAAATGGACAAGCCCTCATCCTTTGAGTCAGTCCTTTCATTACTGAGATCGTTGAAGATCAGCCAGAGTTGGCTCCCAGAATGACATCAGATTAGGCAGCAACTCTTAAGACATGGCACCATATTCGTGTGAAAACCAAAGAAAAGTAGGCTTGGGTACATAGTTTAGCATGTCTGAAACTCGGGTGTTTTGAGAGATCTAACCAGATTCTGGAAAAGAAAAAGGAGGATGGGTTCTTTGGGCATCATGTAAGGATTATATTCTGCGTATGCTATTTCCCCAAATGAATTTTCAAGTTGTTATAGTCTCACTCAGACAAGTTAATTAATTGTACATTTTCCAAAAGAAGGGTCATGGGAATTTAATGTGGAGTTTAGGTGTTATGAAAGGTTTGGCCATACTGATCCATTCATTAGTTTAAAAAAAAACCAAAACCAAACTCACTGCTGTTGAGTTATATCTGACACATAGCGACCCCTCCTTGGGTTTCCGAGGCAGTATCACTACGGAAGTAGATTGCCCAGCCTTCCTTCCGAGGAGTGGCTGGTGAGTTTTAACCACCAGCCTTCTGGTTAGCAGTCAGATGTCGTAGGCACTATGCCACCAGAGCTCCCATTCATTAGTAATAGTGCTATTTATTAATGAGTAACAATGTATAGTTAATCAATTTTGCTTACATTCCTTTTCTGGAAGTCATTAATTTATCCTGTAGGCAGCTAGCTCTGTGAGCTGTGGGAAAATGTATGTGTGATCTTGTTAGGCAATAATCAAATTACAGGTAGGGTGTAGTTTTATGGTTACTCTGTAGCCAGACCCAGTGTAGGTTTGAGGAGATAATTACATTGCCTAAGGGGACAGTGAGGACAGTTACTTTCCCACTCTTTGGGCAGCTCAGCCCATGGTTCTGCTTTTTTTTTTTTTTTTTTAACATGCATTGTATTGAAATATAATTTATGTACAGTGAAATACACAAAACTAAAATGACATGGGTCAATTCTTTTTTTTTGCAGTGTTTTCTCCGTTCCCCTCCCACACCTGGCAACCAACAAAGAAAGTTTCCCTCCATATATAAACCTATCCATGACCCTCTACAACAATGAACTAATACTATGTTTGTCATTCAGCGATTGACTTACATCACTCAGCAAAATGTCCTCCAAGTTCATCCATATTAAGCGGTGTTTTGCAGACTCTGCATTATTCTTTAGTGCTGCATAGCATTCCATTATGTTTATGTACCATAGTTTGGTCATCCACTCTTCTGCTATAAATCTTAGAGATAAGTCCCTTGTCAGATACGCAATTATCAGCAAATATGAATTTGTTGCTGTCATTTTTGTTATGTGCTTTTTCGTGGTGTCGATTTCTTTGTTCATTATAATTTTCTGTGCTGAGCTTGTTTTGTTTTTGAATCGTGTTATCACTTCCTTCATTGCTGTTGTTTCAGTATTTGCTGAATATTTATGCTGGCCCTCTTTTTTTGATGTGAAGGTTTATCATTTTTCTTTGAGGTTTCCCTGTGATTTATAGTTTTCTTTCCAAGTGTAGAACAGTCCGTTCTATCTTGTACTTGTCTTGACTTTTCTACCACCTAGTTCTGTAAGGACACAATTTTTTCCCTCCTTTTGGTTCTGTAGTTGTCCTCATTTGTTGGTTGGTGTCTCTGGTTCCCTGTTTACAATCTTGTAGGTTTATTTACTTTGGATACTTCCAAAGTAGCTGGGTTGGTTTCTGGGTTATATCATCATGTGTGTTAATGGTCAGTTGTAGTCTGTTGTTGCTTCTCTGTCCAAAGGGCTCCCTTTAGCACCTCTTGTAAGGTTGGTCTGGTTTTAACAAATTCTCTGAGTTTCTGCTTATCTGGAAATTTCCTAATTTCACCATCATATTTGAGGGACAGTTTTGCTGGTTACATAATTCTTGGTTGGAAATTTTTGTCTTTCAGGGTTTTATATATACCATCCCATTGTCTTCTCGCCTGCATTGGTTTCTGCTGAGAAATCTGAGCTTAGTCTTACTAGTTGTCCCTTGTAAGATAACTTTTCGTCTTTCCCATGCTGCTCTTGTGATTCTTTGTCTTTGGTTTGGTAAGTTTGATGATGATATGTCTTAGTGATTTTCTTTTGAGGTCTGTTCTGTTTGGGGTTCGTGGGACTTCCTGAGTGGATATATCCTTATCTTTCATGTTGTTGTTGTTGTTGTTATGTGCTGTCGAGTCGGACCTGACTCATAGCGACCCTCCTTGGGTTGCCGAGGCAGTATCACTACGGAAGTAAATTGCCCCATCTTCCTTCCGAGGAGTTGCTGGTGGGTTTGAACCACCAGCCCTCTGGTTAGCAGTCCAGTGCCTTAGGCACTATGCTGCCAGATCTTTCATAGCACCAGGAAAATTCTCTTCCAACAAATCTGCAACAATTTTTTCTGTGGTCTTACTTGTCTCTTCCTGTTATGGAATTCTGATTACATGTACGTTATTCCTTTTGGTGGTATCCCACATGAACCTTAGGCTTTCTTCATTTTATTTTGATCTTTTTTCTGATTTATCTCTTTCCAAAGAAGTGTTCAGGTATTTGCCTTCAAGCTCCCTAATTCTGTCTTCCATTGCATCAGTTTTACTCCTTTGCCCATTCAATGTGTTATCTATTTCTGAAAATTTAGTATTAATCTTCTAGATTTCTGTGTGTAGATTTTGTATCATTTCTAATTTTTCATTTATTTTGTCATTTTATTCTTGTATTATCTTTTGAAATCGTTGTAGTGTTTTCTCTGTGTTTTCCTCGATCTGTCTCTCAATTCATTGAAGATACCTAACTATAATTCTTTTGAATTCCTTATCAGGGAGTTGCAATACTGCATCTTCCTCAGGGATTTGTTTTGGGTCTGTATCCTGGTCCCTTGTTTCTCCTGCTTTATCTTGCTTCTTTGTGTGGACTGTGATGCTCTGTTGTCTCCGAGGCATTGTGACGTTTTCGTGTTTATATTTAATTGGTGATTGTATGTTGGAGTGACTTGCCCATGATTTTTGTTTTCTTTGTTTTATTTGTATGTTATCTATGCAAGCAGGGTACTGTGCTCCTCCATTTGCTAGTTGACAGCACTTACATACTCACCACCTGTCTCCTTTCCTGTTGTCAGCCTCTCATATGTCCCTGGAATCTGAATGAGAATACTATTACTTTAAAATCCAAAATGGTTGCCACTTGTAAAGATTCAAAATGGCTGTGCCCTTGGTTACTTTAAATACCCAAAATGGCTGCATCCTCTGGACAGCAGAAAGCCAATAATAGCTCAGGTTGTCTCCTTCCTTTCAGTTTCCCTTTCTAGTCATAGGCCACCAGTGCAGTTGTCTCTATAGCCCTTAGTGACCAAGGTTAATGTTTAGGTCAATTCTCAGGTCCCAACACCACTTGTAAATATTCAGGCCATTGGTCCTGTCAGAGTAGCTGACAGCCTGCAGCTCTCACCATCTCTGTATACTCTTTTGTTCCAGTTTTTCCACTAGTTGGTGCCTAATCCACTGCTGCATAGTTCTTTTCAAAGCTTGGGGCTCCAGGATTATCTTCTGTATCTCTGTCAATTGGTTTTTCTTTTCTTTGTTGAAGAGGGTCTGTTTCGCTTGTCTGCCTATTCCTCCATCTTACCAGAAGTCTCCCATGGTTCTGCTTCTATTGTGTCAAATCAGTGTGACTTGTGTGATTAGTCACCAGTGTGTAGTGGCCATTACTCCTGTGTTTAGGATTAACAGTTAGTTTGTTTGCAGAAACGAATGAATAATTTTGCCTTTTGATATAATTTGTGTTGTAGGTCCCAATATGGGAGGAAAATCAACATATATTCGCCAGACTGGGGTGATAGTTCTCATGGCGCAGATTGGGTGTTTTGTGCCATGTGAGTTGGCAGAAGTGTCCATTGTGGACTGCATCTTGGCTCGGGTAGGGGCTGGTGACAGTCAATTGAAAGGAGTCTCCACGTTCATGGCTGAAATGTTAGAAACTGCCTCTATTCTCAGGTATGTGCATGTCCTAGTGTCCTGAAATTGGAAATGGATGTCCCTGTTTGGTACAGGTATGTTCACAGCTTCATCTGTAAGACATTTATCTGCTTTAATAGTTGTTTTCCTGTGAATTTTATGTATTTTGCATTATCTTAAAGGGGTGATTAGTAGTAGTTGTGGAAACTTCCTTTTTTTTTTTTCTTTTTCAAACTATGCTCAATATAGTTGGTTTTTTTTTTTTTAAGTTTCCATAATTTTTTTCCCCCATTTCCTTTTAATTGTATTCTTTTCACCCAGGTTAATGTGTGTCTGTCCTCTAGTTAGTGGTTTACCCTCCCTCCCTCACTGACCCCTGGTAACCACCAAAGAATGTTTTGTTTTTTGTAAAACGCTTTTCTTGACTCTTTACAATAGTAGTCTCATAATATATTTGTCCTTTTGTGATTGACAATTTCACTCAGCAGCATGTTCATCCCTGTTATAAAATGTTTTGCAGATTCATCATTGTTCTTTAATGTTCCATAGTATGCCATTGTGTGTATGTACTATAGTTTTGTTTATCCACTGATCCGTTGATGGGCGTTCTATCTTTTTGCTATCATAAATAGTGCAGTAGGCATAGATGTGCATATATCTGTTCATGTCATAGCTCATATTTCTCTAGGATATATACCTAGTAAGGCGTTCTGGTGGTATAGTGCCTAAGGCATTTGATTGCTAACCAGAAGGTTGGTGGGTCAAACCCACCAGCTGCTCCACAGAAGGAAAATGAGGCAGTCTACTTCTGTAAAGATTTACAGCTTTGGAAACCTAATGGGGGTCTCTGTAAGTCAGAATTGACTCATTGGCAGTGAGCTGAGTTTTGAGTATATACCTAGTAGGATTGCTGGGTCACGTGGTATTTCTATTTTTAAGGAAGTACACCTTACTTTTCTTTTGTTTACATTGTTCATACTGCCTGGAATGGTCCTTCCTTGCCCTTTACCCAAATCCTTTCAATCTTTATGGCCCTAAAAGACAGAAATTCTACTTCTGTGATGATTTTCCTGGTCACATTAGCCTTACATTGTCAGGCCTCCTGTTTGACACGCCTTGTAGTTTATTAGTATTTTATTTTAGAGTTTTGTATGTTGTTGTTGTTGTTATTTGCCGTCGAGTCGGCCCCGACTCATAGCGACCCCTCCTTGGGTTTCCAAGGCAGTATCACTACGGAAGTAGGATTGCCCAACCTTCCTTCCGAGGAGTGGCTGGTGGGTTTGAACCGCCAGCCTTCTGGTTAGCAGTCAAGTGCCTTAGCCACTATGCTACCAGAGCTCCTAGAGGTTTGTATAGTAAGGACAAATTCACCTAAATAGCAATCTGGCCTTTGTCCTGGCTCCTTGGAGCTAACCTCTAAGCCCTTGGTATTTCCTGAGTTATAGGAGTGTCTTGGGAGCTCTGGTGGCATAGTGCCTAAATTACTCGATTGCTAACCAGAATGCTGGTGGTTCAAACCCCTCACCCATTCCTTGGAAGGAAGACTGGGCAATCTACTTCCGTAGAGATACTGCCTTGGCAAGGTGAGGTCACTTTTAGTTGGATTCAACTCGACAGCAGTGAGTTTGATTTTTTTTTTTTTTTAGGAGTGTCTTTGTTAGTCACAGTGGACCCCTAAATAGTTTACACTAAGGAGATGACTCACAGTGGGGGCTAGCCATGCCAGAAAGGTGAATCAAGAGGTTAGAAGATTGGGGCTTTAAGCCACTTGATATTAGCCCAACGTGAGGTGGGGGCAGGGAGTTGGAGATTGGGTTCTGCTCTGTGGGCATTGATTTAGTCAGTCATGCCTATGTACTATGAGAACTGTAGGCACTGGAGCTTGAGTGAGCTTCCTTGGTTAGTAGTACTCTTTGAGTGCTGGCATACTTCAATACCAAAAGGGTAGCTTCTCCCTGAGCATGATGGAAATTTCACCTTTGGAGCATCCCAGATGTTGCCCTGTACATCTCTTCTTTTGGCTGGTACTATTTGTATCCTTTTGCTATATTAAAGCTAATCCTTAGCTAGCATAGCACTTTACTGAGTTAGGTGAGTTATTCTAGTGAATTACTGAACCTGAGCATGGTCCTGGGAAGCCCTGAATTTACAGTTGGTGCCTGAAATAAGAGCAATCTTGTGGAGAACTGTCCTCAGACTGCGCAGTTTGGCCAAACGCACTAGACGGTTATTGAAATCTTTTGTCTATTTCCCTTTTTAATGGTTTCTTTGAAGGCCTGGGCTTTATCTTCTATGTTTTTGATCTCGTCTAAAGTACTTTGCATGTAGTAGGTCCTTAAAAAATTAATGTGTTTTAATTTCTGAGAGGATCTGTTGTTTGTGGGGAATTATAAAAGCAACACAAACATATAATAATAGTCATTAGGCAACAGGTTAACATCCATAACTTTCCATGTAATGAAATAAGCAAAATTCACAGAAAAAGAAGTATACATGGCCAGTAAGCACGTGTGATGCTGTCAGAGTCATCAATTGCAGTGGTTATAGAAAGAATAATCACATATGGTATGGGTGAGGCACTTTGGGCACATGAATTTATATAATCACCACAGAGTGTGTGCATATCCAGTCATCACCACTGGTCCCACCTTCATTCCCTATTATTATTTTTAAAATCTTGGCTGATTTAATTGTCAGGAATGAATGATAATTGGTTTATTTGGAAATTCTTTGCTACTCAAAACCAAATTCACTGCCATTGAGTTGATGCCGACTCATAGTGATCCCCAGTGGGTTTCCAAGGCCATAAGTCTTTGTAGAAGCAGACTCCCTCATCTTCTGTGGAACATTGGCTAGCAGCCAAATGCCTTAACCACTGCACCATGAGAGCTCCTTCTTGATTACTACCAGGAGCTGGTAATTTAAAAATTATTTATTCACTGTTTGTTATCTCTTCTATCAATTGTTTGTGTCCATTTTTTAATTGATGTTTTGTTGCTTTTTATTGACATAATTGAATTTTTTATACATTAAGATAGTCTGTTATATTTGTGAACATATCTTCCCTAATGTATTCATCTTGTTTTTGATATTATCACGTTTGCTGTCATGGGGAAATTTCATGTAATTTTATGTTTCAGGTCTGCAACCAAAGACTCATTAATAATTATAGATGAATTGGGCAGAGGAACGTCTACCTATGATGGATTTGGGTTGGCATGGGCTATATCAGAGTACATTGCCACAAAGATTGGTGCCTTTTGTATGTTTGCTACTCATTTTCATGAACTTACTGCCTTGGCCAGTCAGATACCAACTGTTAATAATCTACATGTCACAGCACTAACCACTGAAGAGACTTTAACTATGCTTTATCAGGTAAAGAAAGGTGAGTATAGAGACCTCAGGTATACTGTAAATTCTGAGTGTGACAATGGCAAACTCACTACCCTTGAAATCATTAGTAATTGCCTTGCTTCTGAGTTAATAGGAAAAATTGATGTTTTTATAGAACACCTTTACTCTTAATTCATAGATAGGGACAGGCACATGGTACATGTTTGTTTCCCAGTAAGACCACTGACTCCAAAGCAATTGCAGAAAGAGAATGATCTGTATTCTGGAATAGCTCCATGGAGAGATGTTCTACTACCTCTCCATGGCGGTGTGTTTTCTACTTGAATGAGCTACTAGGTAATAACAGTTACTACATTCTGAAGTTCCAAGGAACTAGTGGTTATTGTTTAATAAAATGTTTTTCTAATTATCTAATTGTGTTTTTAGGGGTGTGTTCATTTAAAGCTGGGAGTTCCAGAAATCCTGAAGTTTTTAGTAGTTATCCCATATGAAATGACTTCTCTTTTGGTATTTCATCCTTTAAAAAGTTGGTCATTTGTGGGTCTGGTTGCTAATTAGATTACTGATTTGATGGGCTTCACATACTGTGAGGTTTTTATTGCTTAACCATCTTACTAATCTTCCGGATAACTTCTTCAGGTGGCTTTCAGGCTTCCTGTGAAGATGTTTTTCTGCCTCAGGTTGTGTACATAGTTGAGATCCCCTTGGCCCTTTTATCTTTTGTTCTTTGTGCTTTGTTGAGCGTCTTTTCAGCTGCTCTGATAATTATTGGCATGGACTGTGGGTACTTTTAGTTAGAACTGACATTTCACATGAAGTTATGTTTTTTGCTTTTAAATTGTTGGTGTTACAGAAATGGGCTTTCAATATAAACAAGGCCAGAGAAAATACAGAGAAAGCAGAATAAATTCATCCTTCCCTGAGGAGCTCTGGTAGCATAGTGGCTAAAGCACTTGACTGCTCACCAGAAGGCTGGCGGTTCAAACCCACCAGCCACTCCTCGTAAGGAAGGTTGGGCAATCCTACTTCCGTAGTGGTACTGCCTCGGAAACCCAAGGAGGGGTCGCTATGAGTCGGGGCCGACTCGACGGCACATAACAACAATAACAACTGTGGGGTTTATTGAACATTTACTTTTGCCTCATTTTTGTTTGTTAATCTTTAAGTCATAAAAAACATCCAGCCCCAGTAGATTTCCTAGGATATATAACTAGATGGGAAAATAATTGACAGTTTCTATTAGTTCTCGAGGGAAAAGTTCAAAATCAAAGTTTGTCAGTGCCATGCTCCTTCTGAAAGCTCTAGGGGAGAATGCATCCTTGAGCGTTGTTAGCTTTTTGTGGTTCTGGGCATGCCTTGGCTTGCAGACACATCACTCCAGTCTCTCTTCACATGTGGTCCCTGTGTGTGCTCTTCTCTTCTTACAAGGATGTTAGTCATTGGACTTAGGACCAACCCTAATCCAGCAAGGAGCTCTGGTAGCATAGTGCCTAAGGCACTTGACTGCTAACCAGAAGGCTGGCGGTTCAAATCCACCAGCCACTCCTCGGAAGGAAGATGGGGCAATCTACTTCCGTAGTGATACTGCCTTGGAAACCCAAGGAGGGGTCGGGTCTGACTCGATGGCACATAACAACAACAACACTAATCCAGCATGATCCTCATTTTAACTAATTATATCTGCAAAGATTATGTCCAGATAAGGTCATGTTCTGAGGTTTTGAGTAGACTTGAATTTTGGGGGGACACTCTTCAACCCACTACACAATTAATAAGGCTGAAATGAAAGCTCCATAATAACTAGTATAATTTTTATTGAAAGTTTAGAAAAAGTTTCTTGAGTCAATTTATTCAGTGCAAATAAAGGTAAAGATTAGGTGCCTGGTCTATAAATTTACCAGTAATTTGGGTAAAAAAAATTCACTGTCATTTATTTGCAGGAGTTCAGAATCAAGAGTCAGAATATAAAAATAATTAAAATAGCTTTTAATTTCTTAAGCAGACAAGTATTATAAATATTTATATTTATCTAGTTAGGTTTCCTTAGCAACAATCACTAGAGAATGATACGGTCAAATCCTGAGGACAGGCCATTCAGTAATAATAAATCAGTATGTTTTTATTTAAATGCTACTTCTAATTAGTGACACATTGACCCCTTTTTGGTTCTTAGGACTTTTAATTCCTCCCTTATGAAATGAGGAAACCTCAGAGACACTGAGCTGATTAATTTCTTTCAGATTAGGAAATTTTCTGGGCCTTTGAAAAGTATCTATCAAGCAGTTTTCTTTGCTGTGTTTATTTTCTCTACTACGTTTGTCAAGGATAAAATACAGCATGGTGTGCCGAGTCATCATCATTTTGCATTAGGGGTTTAATTAAAATTCCTTTCTCTAAATTACTTTGAAACATTTGGCTAGTCTATTTTAAATAATACAAAATAAATATTCCTAATGACAAAGTGAAAAGGATACATTCTATTCACATTAATTGTTCTCTCTTCCCACCCTACCACTTCCCACCCATCTATATTTCCTGTAGGTGTCTGTGATCAAAGTTTTGGGATTCACGTGGCGGAGCTTGCTAATTTCCCTAGGCATGTAATAGAATGTGCTAAGCAAAAAGCCCTGGAACTAGAGGAGTTTCAGAATATTGGGAAATCTCAAGATGATGACAAAACAGAACCAGCAGCAAAGAGATGCTATCTGGAGAGAGAGGTTTGTTGGCTTGTGTTTGCAGTTATTTAATCTCTGTATATTGTTGCATGAACCAGGTCACCAAGCTGTGTTATTTTTTTTTCCCCATATTATTCTTCTGTTTAATTTTTGATCAGTCATTTTTACTTACATTTCTTTGCATGATAAGGAATCCATCTCTGTCATTCTGATTTCTGCAGTACATCTCCATAATCAAAGATTTAAAAAGTTAGGAGGAAAGGAATATTAGGTTTAAAATAAGTAATTTAAAGGAACTATAGATGTCCAAGAACATCTTTTGAGTACTTGGTAAATGAATAGGTCAAGTCCATTCAAGTCCAGTTAAATGAGTGCTTAGTTAAGATGATGCGAAAGAAATAAAAAGATAGTTCCTACCCTCGAGTTGTTTAGAATCCAGTTCAGGAGATAAGAGTAATGGATATGTGGTGGAGAATAAAGGCGCATATGACAAAGCGCTTAGGGGTCAGGATATTTTCATTCTCTTCTGAGAAAGGGGTCTTAACTTGGGCCTTCTCTGAGTGATGGTGGGATATATTAGATGGACACAAAGATATAAACATATGCCCACCTTGTTTTAAAAAAAATGAAGGATTACTAGTTTTCTTTAATAATTAAAATAAAACTATCATAATTAATACCCTGGTCCTGGCAAAATTTAACGTGCTACTCATTGTGACAGTTTTTTACTTGTCATGTTCTTAGCTTTTACCCACTGAATTTTTGTTCTTACTTGAAGCATAGATGGTTATTAAAATAGATGATGTGTATGGCTTTTGAGCTTAAAAGAAATGCGTTGTAAATTATTAGTAATTTTAGGTATGGTGTTAATATGTTTTGAAAAATCTTGATGCTGATGTCAATAAATACATTTTAACTATCCATCTTGTTCAGTCTAGATTTTATTATTTTTTTTAATGTAGGCACTTTTAAAGTTTCATTCATTTTTGTTATTGTTGATCATATATACACTGCAGAACATACATCAATTCTAGTTTTTCTGTCTGTACAATTCAGTGGCAGTAATTGTATTCTTTGAGTTGCACAACCATTCTCACCCTCTTTCTCTGAGTTGTTCCTCCCTCATTGATATAAACACACTGCCCTATCTGATCTCTTCAGTTACTGTTGTCAGTTTAATCCCTTGTAGATAGTTCTTAAAAGAGCATAGTGCTCAAGGCAGACTTTTTTTTTTTAAAAAAAAACTAGTTAAGCTAAACTATTTATTTTTAAGAAGACTTCAGGTGTTATTTTTGGTTTAAAGTTTAAAGATGATCTTGAGCTAGTAGTTTCAGGGGCTCCTCCACCCTCCATGACTCCAGAAAGGCTGGATTCCATGAGAATTTGTAATTCTGTTCTGCATTTTCCCCTTTTGATGAGGATTCTTCTATAGAATCGTTGATCAAAAAGTGGCTGGTGGGTTTGAACCACCAGTCTTCTGGGTAGCAGTCCAGTGCCTTAGGCACTATGCTACCAGAGCTCCCTTAGTAATGGTAGCTGAGCATTATCCAGTTGTTCTTGTCTCATGGCAAAGGAGGCAGTTGTTCATGGACTCACATAGCCACACATTCCATATCTATCTACTATTCCTGACTCTTCCTTTTTCCTGTTACTCTAATGTATAGAGATCAAGTAGTGTGCCCTGGATGGCCACTTGCAAGACCCCAGGTACAATGCAGTGAACTGGAGGTAGAATGGAAGCACTTAACACATTATTAAGCCAATTAACTAGGATGTCCCATGAAAGTCCCATGAAACCATGGCTTTAAACCTTCAAACTAAGGAACCAAATCCCATGAGGTTTTTGGTTTTACATAAGCAGCCTTGATTTAAAATTTAGAGATTATCTCAGGGCAATAGTTTTGGTGTTTCATCCAGTCTCCATGGCTCCAGAAAGTATGGAATCCATGAGAAATTGAAATTCTGTTCTGCATTTAACCCCTTTTGATCAGGATTCTTCTGTAGAATCTTTGATCAAAATGTTCAGTAATAGTAGCTGGGTACCATCCAGTTCTGGTTTTATGAAAGAAGACAATTCATAGCGAAGTATTATTTCTTTATCTCTTGAGTGTACTGTCACTTGAGTCATCACCTTTCACCATCAGGGCACTTAATGGGTTCTCTTGTGTGAAAAGCAGCCCTTATAGTTTGGCTTCATAGGCATTATAGCCACTTCTCACTTATCAAAGATCAGATTGTTATAGGCAGCAGTGTCCCCTTCCCCCGACTTTGTTCACTCACCATCAGGCATCCCCATGCATCTCAGGATGAGTAATGCATTGGGGCCTGTGGGAGTTGAGGGTAGTTGGTCCGGTGTTTCCTGCTGCCTGCCCTTGGTGGTGAACCCCACTTGTCCTCTGTCTACCCAACAGCCCCTTAACCACCCCCATTCCTTCCCCATTTCTGCCTCCCCCACCAACCTCCCCAGCACCTTCAGGCCCTCACGCAGCCTCCCACTGCCTGACCGCAACCTCACATTGTCCCCGCCATTGACCTACATCCTCCATGGCCGGAACAAGATATTGCAGACAAACAGGATAAAGTGTCCAGTGGTCAGCCGGCCATCATCCTTTGTGTGGCCTGGTCATTATGGGGGCCTACAGTATATCATTCAGGGTGGCCTGCAAAGGACACCCTGGGCCTGGCTGTAGTGCCGTGAGGACTGGACCTAGACTATCGGAAGCATCATCTGAGAATTTGTTCAAAGTTGTCATATATGTGAGATGTCAGACAGTAAGTGAGGAGTCAGACCAGACCAGACTCATAGCCCTTGAGACAATTTCAACTCATAGCAACCCCCACTGGATTTCTGAGGTTGTAAATCTTTTTTTTTTTTTTTGGCGCTTTAGGTGCAAATTTACAGAGCAGTTTATTTTACATTCAACATTTCATGTACATTTGGTTTCACTCCCCAGTTACCATCCCCAGCCCTAACCCACTCTCCTCCCCGCCCTTCTCATTATCCCTCACCCCTGAACCCCTGAGGTTGTAAATCTTTACGGAAGTAGATTGCCCCATCTTCCTTCCACGAACTGGCTGGCCAGTTTGAACTGCTGACCTTCTGGTTAGCAGCCAAATGCCTTACCCACTATGCCACCAGAGCTCCTTAAGTGAGGAATAAACGAATAGTAATATTTGCAGTCTTCCTCACTGTGAGGGACTGTTCTCAGCACTTTATACATATTAGCTCTTTAATTCTCACAACAGCCCTGTGAGGTTTATAATATGCCCCCATGTTATGGGTGATGAATGTAGATCACAGAGGAATTTGCCTAAAAAGCCACACAAACCCAATCCAGCCCACTGCCATCACATTGATTCTGACTCACAAAGACCCCCATTGAGTTTCCAAGGCAGTAAATCTACACAAGTACATTGCTCCATCTTCTTTCCACAGAGCAGCTGGTGGGTTTGAACCACCAACCTTCTGGTTAGTAGTCACCTACCTTAGGCACTATGCCACCAGAGCTTCTTTAAGAAATCACATAGTAAGCAATAGCCACATTCTTTGGAACAGTTATATCTGGGCTGTAAAATCAAAAGGAAAACATCCTCTTTGTGCATGTGTGTATTATATTTTCAGTGACTTTATGCCTAACAGAATTCTTGGTAATCATTGGGTTCTTCTCAGAAGAATAAGGTAAGGTGTGAGAAGTGATAATAACCAAGGGTTTTAAAACTTCTAAAGTATTCAGTCCCTTTGCTTCAGTAGCAGAAAGTATGTGTATTAATGTTCTCTTAATAATTTGCTATAAAAAAAATGAAGTCTTGGCTCTATATTTTAGACAGTGCACACCTAAGTAAGAATGTCCTTAAATATTGGGTAGCATGTTTAGATTGAAATTTAGTGAAACAATTTATTGTTGTTTAATGTGACTTTTAGAAAAGACATTTTAAAGACTAATGAAATGTTCACATGTTTTTCCAGCAAGGTGAAAAAATTATTCAGGAGTTTGTATCCAAGGTGAAGAAATTGCCATTTATGGAAATGTCAGAAGAAGACATCACAATAAAGTTAAAACAGCTGAAAGCTGAGGTGGTAGCAAAAAATAATAGTTTTGTAAGTGAAATCATTTCACGAATAAAGGTTACTACATAAGAAGACACCACTAACGGAATGAAGATAAAAATTGATAAGCTATGGTCTGTAATACTTCTGTATTGTTTTATACTTAACCGTTTTCCCATAATGTTGGCTATTGATGGCCTGTGTGATAATCAGCTTAATAAAACGTTTAGTACAATACTTTGCTGTACGTACATTTCAAAGATCTTTATTTTGAAAAACGAGCTGTAACTGAGAAATATTTAAATGGATGTAGGCAATAATAAACAACATGTTGAATTTTATAAATAAAATCATGTAGTTTGTAGAATTTGAGATGCATTCTATTTCTTTGTAATATGACCTTTATAATGTATTACTAGGAGCTCTGGTGGCATTGTGCCTAAGGCACTTGGCTGTTAACCAGAAGGCTGGCGGTTCAAACCCACCAGCCACTCCTCGGAAGGAAGGTGGGGCAATCTACTTCCGTAGTGATACTGCCTGGGAAACCCAAGGAGGGTTTGCTATGAGTCAGGTCTGACTCGATGGCACATAACAACAACAACAACAACAATGTATTACTGTGTTACTTATGTTGTAAGCTGCCATCAAGTTGGCATTGTGTCACTCATTGTGACCCCATGCACAGTGGAACAAAACACTGCACCATCTCCATGCTCAGTTGCAGATCAGACTATTGTGATCCATGGCGTTTCCATTGGCTGACTTTTGAAAGTAGGTCACAAGGCCTTTCTTCCTAGTCCTGTGCTCCATCATAGTAACTCGAGAGCCTCTGCTGACAGGCAGATGCGTGGTGGCTGTAGGCTGCATTTGAGGTGTGTTGGCTAGGAAGAGAATCTGATTTCCCATGCAGGAGGTGAAAGTTCTACCACTGAACCACCAGTGCTCATTGTGTTAATTATGGAAGCATCATAAAATAAATAATTAGGTTGTCCTTTTCAGTTGCCATCAGATGCTGGATATCCTTCCTCCATCATTTATCTAACCAGCCCGTGCATCAGTACAGGTAGTCCCCAACTTAACAACAGGATTCCACCCCAACAACTCTGTTGTATGTTGGTTCTGGTGGAAGGTGAATACCTCTTTTTTTTTAAAGTTTATTATTTTTTATTATCAGTATCTTTGTAAATCTGATCTTTATTTGTCTTAGAGGGTTGGCATGAGAAAAATAACATCAGTGAATGAGGCACTGCAACACTGTATGTAGTACATAACTGCTAACGATAATATGTACCCAGAAAAAAGGACAGTTGTAAGTGTGGTTCATAAATTTGTAGTAACTTGAATAAGTTTACTTATTCCCAAATAGTGAGGAATCAAATAGCTAGCCTAGTAATCTTGTAAAAGCAAGGATCTTAAAGTTGGAGGCAACCATAGAGACCACCCCCAGTGGTCCCCAGTGATTCCCTAGTGTCTCTGTGTTGGCAAGAGCTCAGTTAGTAGCATACATGTTAGTCAAGAAACTGCTGTCAATCCAGAGTCCTAGTGCGATTCTGCACCTTTCCACCATCTTCCCATCCCTGTTCTGTGGTGAGATTTAGAAATCTGGATTTTTAAGAAACTACTTCAAGATTGGAAACACTGATTTAGTGTATTCTCTGTTTTTAGGAAAAGAGGGCAAGAGTTAGTGAGTGGCCCTGCAGAGAGTTATGGTTGAGGGGAGGGGGAGGAGGAGAGCAATCTTTTCAATAAACGGTGACGAGATGATTAAATTGAATTCTGCTTTGTATTATGTATGGACATCACCTTTAAGGAGATTTTAGGCAAATGATCAAGCTTTTAGTGTTCTATAGAGGAAAATATTTTTCTGATCTTGTTGTTGTTGTTACTTGCTGTCGAGTCGGCCCCGACTCATAGCGACCCCTCCTTGGATTTCCGAGGCAGTATCACTACGGAAGTAGGATTGCCCAACCTTCCTTCCGAGGAGTGGCTGGTGGATTTGAACCGCCAGCCTTCTGGTTAGCAGTCAAGTGCCTTAGGCATTATGCTACCAGTTTCTGATCTTGGTGTAAGGAGAAATTTTGTCAATTACAAAAGCACTATCCTTAAAGACTGACATATGTAGCTATTGAAATTAAGAACTTCTGTTCATTAGAAGGCACCACAAAGTGGAAAGATCTATAATGGGAGAACATATCTGTACCACATAAACTATCAAAGGATTTATATCCAGTGTATATGAAATTACTCCTGTAAAACTACCAAGAGAGCATTATAGTCTTTATACAACAAAAAAGCAACGCAAAAAAAAGACAAGGGATCTGATAAGACATTTTTTCCAAGGAAGAGACACACATGGCCAATAAGCAAATGAAAAGACCACTCAACATCATTAGTCATCAGGAAAATGCAAATTGGGACCAAAATGAGATACTACTTTACATCTAGTGGGATGGCTAAAATAGATGATAACAAGTATTGACAAGGATGTGGAGCAGTTAGAACTTTCATACTCTGTTGGTGGGAACACTGGAAAAGAGTCTGGCAAGTTCCTCAAATGGTAGGTATATACCCAAGAGAAATGGAAACATGTCCACACAAAACTGGTACATAATTGTTCATAGCAGCATTATTCATAATAGCCAAAAAGTAGAAACAATCCAAGTGTTCATCTGAATAAGTGGATATAAGAAAGGTGATACATCCAACCAGTGGAGTATTACTCAGCCATAAAAGAAATGAAATAATGCATGCCACAGCTTGGATGAACCATGGAAACATTCTAAGTGAAAGAAGCTAGTCACAAAAATATCATGACTCCATTCATATGAATTATTCCAGAATGGATAGATTCTTGTTTGTTCAGGTGCCATAGAGTCGGTTCTGACTTACAGTGACCCTGTGCACCACGGAACAATACACTGCCTTGTCCTGCGCTCCTCACAGTTCCTCTGCTTGAGCCCATTGCTTTAGCCACTGTGTCAGTCCATCTCCTTGAGAGTCTCTCTCTTTTTCACTGACCCTCGACTCTACCAAGTGTGGTGTTTTCCAGGGACTGGTCCCTCCTGATAACATGTCTAAAGGACGTGAGATGTGAAGTCTCGCCATCCTCACTTCCAAAGAGCAATCTGGTTGTACTTCTCAGATTTGTTCCTCCTTATGGCAGTCCCTGGTGAATGCAGTATTCTTCACCAACACTGTAATCCAAAGGCATCAATTCTTTAGTCTTTATTCATTGTCCATTCACATGCATATGAAGCAATTAAAAATACCGTGGCTTGGGTCTGGCATATCTTAGTCCTCAAAGTGACATCTTTGCTTTTTAACGCTTTAAAGAGATCTTTTGCAACAGATTTGCCCGATGCAAAACATCATTTGATTTCTTGACTGCTGCTTCCATGGACATTGATAGCAGCTCCAAATAAAATGAAATCCTTGACAACTTCAATCTTTTCTGTTTGTCACGTGGTTGGTAGGTGCTGTGGAGTTGGCTCTGACTCATAGCGACCCTATATACAACAGAATGAAACACTGCCTGGTCCTGTGCCAGCCTCACAATCCTTGCTATACCTGAGCCCATTTTTCACAATGTTTCAAGGCTATTCATAAAGTTTTCCAGTAATACATCAAACAGTATTTCACTGCTATTCATAAGGTTCTCCAGTAATACATCAAACAGTATTTCACTGCTATTCATAAGGTTTTCACTGGCCAAATCTTTGAGAAGTAGATGGCCTATTCCTTCTTCCGAGTCTGTCTTAGTCTGGAAGCTCTGCTAAAACCTGTCTACCATGGTGACCCTGCTGGCATTTGAAATTCTGGTGGCCTAGCCCTCAGCCTCACAGCAACACACAGGCCACCACAGTATGACAAACTGATGACTTGTGGCTGTTTATCATGATGTTGCTTATTTGTCCAATTGTGAGGACTTTTGTTTATGTTGATGTGTAATCTGTACCGAAGATCAGTGCTTAAAATCATCTTCACTTTCAGCAAGCGAGGTTGTATCGTCTTCATAATGCAGGTTGTTAATGAATCTTCCTCCAATCCTGATGCTGTGTTCTTCATATAGTCCAGCCTCTTGGAGTGTTTGCTCAGCATACAGATTGAATAAGTATGGTGAAAAGATACAGCCCTGAGGTACACTTTTCTTGATATTAAACCAGTGTCTCCTCGTTCTATTTATACGAATAACTCTTGGTCTATGCACAGGTTCTGCATGAACACAATGAAGTGTTCTGGAATTCCCGTTGTTAATGTTAACCATAATGGGTTATGATCTACACAGTCAAATTCCTTTACATCGTCAATACAACAGAGTAAACATCTCTCTGGTATTCTCTGCTTTTAACCAAGATGCATCTGACATCAGCAATGATAGCCCTTGTTCCAGGTCCTCTTCTGAATCCAGCTTGAATTTCTGTCAGTTCCTTGTGGATATAGTGCTTAAAAAGACAGAAAGCAGATTGGTAGTTGCCAGTAGCCAGGCAGGGCAGAGGGTTGGTTAATGGAAAATGGAGGATAAGGAATGGTAGCTAACAGATAAGGGGTTTTCTTTTTGAGGATACGAAGATGTGAAGCTGACTGTCGTGATGGTTGTACATGTGTGACTGCTAAAAACCATTGATTCTTACACTTTACCCTTTATTATTATTTTATTTTTGCAGTGTTTCCTCCCCTCCCACCCCTAGTAACGAACAAAGAAAAAGTTTCCTTCCATATGTAAACCTTTCCTTGACTTTTTACAATAATAAACTAATAACTGTATTTGTCCTTCTGTGATGATCCTTACACTTTAAGTGGGTGAATGGTATGTGAATTATATCTTAATAAAGTAGGGGGGTTTTATTTAAAAAAAAAAAAAAACTTTCAGGCACTTCACCCAAGATAAATCTAAATGATTCGTATGAAAAGGTATATAATTAGCAGTCAGAAAAGTGAAAATAAAACCATACCAGGCTCCTCCTACAGCCCCACCAGACTGATTTTAAGTGAGTGTGACAATGCCAACTGTTTTGGCATGTGGAGAATGTTTCTTGGTATATTAAGAATAGCAATCCTTGTTGGGAGTTAATGGTGCCACACTTTGGAGAGAAATTAGTAGGCTTCCCCATACCCCATGACTAGCAGTTCTGTCCCTAGGTACATATTCTAGAGGTGTGTGTGCACATCGTGCTGTGTGTGGTGTGTGTGTGTGAATGTGTGTTACAGCCCCAAATAAAACCCAGCAATGGAGACGCATTGCAGCTACACAAAATAACATGGACGGAATCGTAAAAACATGAAGCAAAGAAGAAAAAAGACCGAAAGGAGAGAGTGATTTTTTTCCCCATTCATGAGAACTTTAAGAATGGGTAAAATTATATTGTTTAGTG